CTTTGTAGCACAGCAGCTTCAGCTGAACAAAACAGAGAAAAAAGTGGAGCAGGCAAACGAAAAAATTAGAGAGACACCACAAGCAAGAAGTTGAAGAAAAGGTTGGGAGAGGTGGAAACGAAGCAGAATTGCCAAGAGAATCGAGTTTTGCAGCTACAGATGGGAAAAGCTAAGCTGATTCTCAGGTTTCAGTGGGTTCCTGAAATGGATCGGCAAGACTTGAAGAGGGTGCTTGGTGAGGTCATCACTCCAGTAGTAGGTTTAACAGCGGATGAACTGGTAAACGAAATGGAGTCAGTCTATAGGGCATACTCCAATTACATTAAAAAAAATAACCTACCTGGAGAAATAGTGGTTAGGTTTTTAAGAAGACAAACCAGAGATGCCATTTTAAAAGCAACTTCAGCAACTCCACTGAAAATGGGAAATGTAACCATCAAAACCTTAAAGGACATTCCATTTGAAATTAGACAAAAGAGGAAAAATTATAAGGACTTAATTTCTTTTCTTCAAACTAATGGGATATCGTACAGGTGGGCAGTTCCGGAGGGTGTCATCTTTAAGTTAAACGATAGAAGAGAGAAGATAGACTCCACTTTTAAAGCTAAAGAATTTTTGAGACATCAGCTGGGGACAGATGAAGAGTCCAAAGAGGAAGAAACGAAGTCTAGTAACTCTGCTACCTTGGGAACGGATTAGGATTCTGCGGCAGAAAAGGGTGCTGGACCTGCCAGAGTGGTATACGATTTTAGAGACAGAAAGCCGAAGTAAAGGCAGAAAGACTTGGAAAATGACCTTTTGAAGCGATGAGTAAGAAGATGATCAGAGACTTCTCTCATAACAACTAACAAAATAACATATAAATAACGAATTGTTATAAGCAAGAACTCTACAATTATATTGTGATATTAAAACTAATTGTACTAACATTTTTACTAACAGTGAAAAGATCTCCTCCTCTTGGGGTTTTAGTTTAGTGTGGTTTGCTTTCCTTTATCCTTAATTGTAGTCCCTTCCCTAATATTTCTTTGTAGTTTTTGTAATATTTGCAAAATAAAAAATATCCCTCCGGGGATTTAAAAAAAAAAGAAAGAAGAAGAGTGGAAGCTGCTTTCCTAAGGCAAAGCTTGGATACATGTAAGTTTAGGTAGTGTTCAGATGTTAGTCCAGGCAAATTGCTAAAGAGCAGTTCTGCGGTGTGGGATTGATGAGTACCTCATAAGAACATAAGAGACGCCAATGTTGGATCAGGCCAAAGGCCCATCCAGTCCAACACTCTGTGTCACACAGTGGCCAGAAATACCAGGTGCCATCAGGAGGTCCACAAGTGGGGCCAGGACATTAGAAGCCCTCCCACTGTTGACCCCCCTCAAGCACCAAGAAGACAGAGCATCACTTGCCCCAGAACCCCTATCTATACCTTGTGGCTAATAGCCACTGATGGACCTCTGCTCAAGGAGGCATCTAGTGAAACAGAGTCACATGTCTTACAGTGAGTGAGGGAGACTGTTGTTTCTGTCCTGCAGGGGTTTCTCAAAGGTGACAGCTAATTCTTGGTCTTCAATGTATTTTGATTGCTGATCCACTGATGGCGTAGCCCTTGTGACGGGTTAGTTGCCTCTGGAGCCACACGAGTCCTCTGTATGGCTCCCAGCTGTGAGTGTGAAGATGATGCGGAGCTAGAATCCCCTGGTCCTGGTCTGTGATGGTTCTGTCTATCTCCCATTCCAGCGTGTGTGGTTATTATGGCTGCAACTCACAGTAAGAAGGGAAGAGGGTGAGAGGCCAACCCACTGAAGGCCTCCTTAGAAGTCCTGGCACCAGGGAAGTTTCTCCAGCACTAGGAATAACAAGGAAAACTGGGTCTATAAAGCCGCTGTTTCCAACAAGCATTTAAACAATTATTATACAGATCTACATCTTGGCAAAAAAACAACAACCCAAAAACCCTTGGTTTTGAGGATCAGAAATATTTCTCTGTTCTGCAGCTGCTAAATATTGTGTCGGTTCCCCTCCCCCCAGCTCCTTAATGACACTTAAAGTATTTGCTGCCTGTGATTCTTGGTTTTGGGCTAGCAATCCACATCAGGATTGAATGGAATAGGCGCCCGACTGGTAGGGGAGGGAAGACGAATGGACTGGGATTGAGAGTCATTGGCAAAGCTAGTGCTGTTTTCCTGGCTTGCTCTTGGCACTCATTATGGCTGGAGTTGTTTGAATGCTTTAGAGCCCTTTGAATATACAGTCCAAGATGGACAGGATTGCCAGGAGCCATGCCAGCGGTGAGGCGTTTCAGTCTATCGTAAATCAATTTGAGAGGTTTCTGCTGTGTGGTACCTGGGATTTTTATTCCTCTCACTTAGCCCGCTTTAAGATCTTGGCTTCCTTCGTAGGTAGCACTTTTTATCTTGTTCAATGAAAGGTCCATATGGTCTGAGAGAAAGAGGGAGCGAATCTTTTTAATTAGGAAACATGGCCACCTGTTCAGGCATTAATGAATGTGATGAGCATGAGGCTTGATGTATCTACTTAAAAATTGCAACTTGGGATTGGTAAAAAAAAACAAAAAAAAAACCCACAAACCCAGCCACCTTCAGTTGGGCACAGACACCATAGAGGCTGCGATAATCAATTAATAATTAAGTGACTAAATTTAGCACCCTGCAGCCATACAGTTTCCTGGACCCATACTGATCAGAGCAGAAGTTGATTGATTGTGTAGGCTATGCAGGCAGGCGTGCTGTGCCCGGGCCATATGCCATCGGGCACGGAGTCCCTTTTTGCAGGATTTAGGAAGGTGAATTCAGAAACTGCAAGCAGATGCTCTTGCCCCACTACACTTCTATCCCTGTCTGTATTAATCCAGTTGCTTGTCTCTGCTCCTCTTGTCATGCTTTCTGTCGTCAGTTTGTTTTCTGAAATCTGCAGCATTCCAAGTGTATCTTCTGTGCATTCCCTCTGGAAAAAAAGAGGGCAGTTTTTCGTACAACATCGCTTGAAAAGCTTATCGAGTAAGACCTTTTCCAGAGAGGTAGCCAATGTTAGCCTGTTGCGGCAAAAACAACCAAGTCTATTGAGACCTTATTTATGGCAGCATAAGCTTTTGTGGAATACAGTCTCCTTTGTTAGATGCTTGAAGTATTTTCCTCAGTGGGTAGATTCCTTTTTCTTTTTTGTATACTACACTCTCATGGTCTGGGAGTTTGCTATGCAGAATTCAGATGTATATAGATAAGGCCAGTGACCATTTATAACAGTATAATCGGTGACTGCAATCTTCCCAGCTTTGTTAGTCTAATTTATGGTTATCGTGAAAGAAAAATCTAGGGCTACTGCTGAAATATCTGTAGAATGCATTTTTCTTTGCTGCTGCCTTACATTACTAAAGCAAGAATTCCCGACCTTTCGATCAAGAGGGTTTTTCCTTATATAGGGTTAGATCTCAAGACTCTGTTCCACTAAGTCTTCCTCTTCAACAAAGGAAGACTTCGCTATCAGAGGAAACCTTTCTCTCTTCAAGGAAGACTAAGATGAAGAGACTCCTAGAATCCAATTTTCTCATTGTCAGATCCAGTTCTTTGTGTGTTTGGGGATCCATTGTCTCATTCTATCAGTTTCCACTTCATTAGTCTCTAATGGCAACTAAAGCAAATTGCAGTGCTAAGTATGGTATAGCATAACATCTGCACCAAGGTTAACAGTAACTGTACTTCTGTGAAGCAAATCTGGAAACAGGCTTTAAATCCTAGTTTAAAGTGGACTTCAGGTACCATAAGTATCTGTGCTGATGCCGTGGTTGATACTGATATGGAAAAGGGATGTAGTCCTTGGGGAGTTCTCTTATCTGTGGTTATAAGATCAGGAAACACTGCATCAGCATCATGTTTAAGGATCTCCACTGGTTTGTGGCAGTTTTTTCCATGTGGTGGTCATTCCAACTTAAGGGTTGTCAAAAAGGGACAAGTTAACATTTAGGTAGGGTTCAGAGATCTTTCGGCACATGTTAATGATCAGCATCCCCCCCCAAAAAAAATATTTTAATTAAACCTGACACTGAAACTCAAAATTGTGGAAAGATTAAATACATTTCTTAATTAAGGAGACTTTTGTACTGTGGATTTGACTTTTTTCTTGGTTATTGCTTTGTGGGGAACTCTGCAGAAACAAAAATGTACTGGTAATTCTTCTGAAGGATTCGGATTGTGGTAGCACTTTCAGAGCAACAGTGGAATTGTTGTTAAGGGCAGCAGTAATCTGCCCTTTTTTAAATAGGAGAAATGCTTTTTTCCTCTAATTAGGGAGGAGGAGCCAGGAATGGGCAGATAATTTGCTTTAAAGCAGAAATAAAAGAGGGGTTAAGTGCAAACAAAAATCTTGTCCCTTTTCTCCCTTTCAAGGGTTAGCTAAGATATTTAGCCTATTTGATCCATGTGTTTTCAGCTATAATGGGGAGGGGGATCAGATGGTGTCATTATGCTCCAGTTTTGTGTGCGTATTCAGGTGCTTAAATAATTGAATGTGAGCTTACGGCTTTCCACACAGTTTTTCCATATCTCATGAATATTTCCCCCCTTTCTCCCATAGATCACTGTGTTCACTATTATGATCTTCGGAACACTAAGCAGCCAATCATGGTCTTCAAAGGGCACCGCAAGGCTGTTTCGTACGCAAAGTTTGTTAGTGGGGAGGAAATAGTCTCTGCGTAAGTAATTTCTCTCCAAAGTTGCAAGAATTTACACTCACTGACACTTGGTGAATGTCAGAGAACTTGGTTTGTACATGGCTTGCGGGTGGGGGTATGTGCTTGTGCGAACTACCATTCTGCTCAACAGATTGCTGTGCTTTTGTTAGATCATAATTATAAAGATACTTCTCACCTCTGTTGGCTCCGCAATCTCTCATTAGCGCAGAGGAATTCAAGAAAAAGCATAGAATTATGGGACATTTGCTTTAATTTTGTAAGCTCCTATCCAGTCATATATTTTGAAAGCAGCAGTTGAATTTCTTTTTGATCAGATTTGCAGGTGACCATTTAAAGGATGGATAATAGTGTGCATCCTACTCCGTTGTGAGGTTATTTTAACTGGCAGATGTTCCAAGAATTGCAGGGGTGCCCCCTGGTGGTATCAGACAGCTGCAAACCTATTTTTGGCACACATTTGCTTGGGGTAGAAGAAAGGAGTTATTTTCTCAAAAGTGATAGAATTTTTTATAAAATGGATAAATTTAGGGTTGTTATTTAACTTGCCATCTCTGGTGCAGATGGTGGTCTCTGGGGACAGCAAGGCCGGCCACTATTATCTCAGGCTTCTTTCCTCCCACACAAACCCCTTACAATACAGGGGTGATAATACTGTTCATTTTACAGATGGTTGTACGGACTCCTGAGAACGGCTGAGGGGTGTTTTGTACACCATTTAAAAATACAAATGCTAAGTACTACCTACATCATGTTCTGTATTCATCTCCCTCCCTTTTTTGCCTTAAGACCTCCAGTTAAGAACATAAGATATAGCTGAGATTTCCAAACACATTTCACAGTGCCTGATGGCATGTCTGTCTTGCGGAAGTGGGACACTTCTGTTATTATTATTATTATTATTATTATTATATCGTTCTCTTTGACATCTGAGTGTAATAACATGACCTTTAAGTTGGCTTCAAGTTGCCATATTACTGTGTAAGACAAGTAAAAATATTCAGGTTGAGATTTTACTACAGCAGCCTGCTCTGTCCAGATCTCACACATGCATCATTAGCAATTAAAGGAGAAGTATTTCTCTTAAAACTTTAGATTGAGCTGATTTGTTAATCACTTGCAGTGGGAACATTTCCTTTGTAAAGAGGAAAGAGAGGATCTTTTGCCTGCATGATCACAGAGCAACAGCATAAATGGGACCTTGAAAGGACAAAATGGGCATGTCCTGCTTGAGAGATGAGCATTTGTAAATGCTTGTTCCATGGCCCTAGGAGCTATATTGACAGAGCTGTCAAATCTGGTTGATGCAATAGCTCGGCAAGGGAGAGCTATGAAGAAACCTCGGGCTCTTCTCCCTCCTTCCCCGCCCATGCAGTTTGCTATAATTTAATATTGCAGAAGGCAGCTTTTGCTTGCATTTGATGTCCAGAGCTTGGCGGCGGCAGAGCTTTACCAGTGATTAACGGCATTAATAACAACAAAATTCCTGGGATAAAATATTAGTTCTTTCCAACCTTAGCTTTGTTTTTTTTAATGGATCACATTGATTCATTCTGCCTTATTGTGTTACATTTTGACCTCTGGTCCCTTTGGACAAGGTTCATCAGTTCCAGGTACTGATTTACAAACCCGCTGATCCTTTGCACTGTGACTACCTTTTAGGAGAGCACACTTTAGGGAAGCTTGTGGACAGCCCCAAGATCAGGGGCTCCTTTCATTTTGTGTTTCATTTCCACTGTTGGGCTGTGCCTCTTATAATTAAGAAAAGCCTGAAAACATCTAGGATTGCTTTTTATAGGAGACACCTGCCACCCCACTGAAACATCTGAAGGAAAAAAATTCCACTGCTTCTGCTACAGTTCAGATCCTTACAAGAGCCCTCTTCAGACACTGACCCATATGGACACTGAATGCCCATAGAAGGGAATGGGATCATGCCTACTGGCCCTGCCCCCCCCCATACAAATATACTTGTGTATTCAGCCAACATCTGCCTCAAGCCCTTATGTGTGCAGAATGTTCATGTGTAGACTCCTCCACTCTGCTCAAAGCAGGGCCCTGATGGCATGGAATTACCTACTCATGTTTAGGTTATATGCTTGTGGGCTTGCTGCCAGTGTTCAACTGAATGTGCAGGTGTTGGGGGTAGGGGCAGTGGATGCAATTCCTCTGTGTACGTGGAGGTAGAGGAATATGTGTGAACAGATTCTGAAGAAGGATAAACTTTCCTTCCTGCCTTGGATTTCCCCCTCTGGATATTCAGTATTTTGCACACCTTGCATACAGAAGGTTCCAGGTTCAATCCTTGGCATCTTCATTAGCCCCAAACGACACAGTATGTTTGGACTCTCATTCTCTGCAGTCAGTTGGCATCTGCAGGGAATTTATTTCCAAAGCACCACAGGTCCCGGTTAATATCACCGGTGTGTGGTGGTGGAGGGAAGGGGCTTCAGTGTCCCCCTGCACCATTTTCCCAACTTGCAATTGCTCGGGGAAGAGGTGTTATTTGCCCCAATTGGGGGTAAGGGGTGTTATTTGCCCCAATTGGGGGGGTTGCACGTGCAGCCCAACAACGGAGTAAATAATGCCTCCCTGGGCCATTTTGGATAGGGAAAATGGCACAGGAGGGTGAGACTGAAGTGCCTTTTCCCCTCCCATCCGCTGTGATCCATATCCAAATTAGACCCTGAAGAGCCACTGACAGTCAAGGGAGGAGGTACAGGGTTAGGCTTATGGCTGGTCTTGACTCATCGTAAAGGCAGCTTTATATAAGCTCATTCTGTCCTGAAAATGACACTGCAATGTAGGTAATTGTTTCCAGATTGCAAGTGGGGAACTGATTCCACAAGTGACTTGTCCACTGACAGTTACTGAGGCCATCACTGTGATGGGATTTCAGTCTTTCTGGCTGTAGTTCATCTCTCTAGTAACTAAAGGAGGTTACCTCTTGAAAAGTGCTCAGGGTGTTTTATGTAAGATGGAATCTTCTTACAGACACCACTGAGTAGTAGTTTCCTAGTAGGTGTCAGAAGCCTATCTCTGGTTACTCTGGAGTTGAGTCAAATTTGTGGTGTCTGGGGCTGGGGAGGGTGGATGACTGATAAAAATAACAGCTTAATTTCTACTGAAGAGGTAGACCTGTGCTTGTGGTGCTGGACCTATGTATTATGCTTCCATCAGCCTGTTTTGTTATACTGAGTCTCTCCCTGCCCAGGTTTGCAGAAACATCTGAAAATAATAGGGAAAGGGGAAATGAGATGTTTCCTGCAAGTCCTTGCAGGTTCCAACTTGGGTTATATAAATGGAAAGGTTTGATTAGTGGTTGTTTATGAACACTCGAGTTAAAAGTGTTGCTAAAGGAATGGTTTTAAGGGCCTCTTTTTATTCCCCCACCCCAAAAAATAACAAATCAGATTCTAGATTGCTTGGCACACAAGCCTGAAGGTTAAGTGCTTCTTTATATATATATATAATGACCTTCCTGATGAGCTGACTAGCAGCGCAAATGTAGAAGCAATCATAGAATTCTGACGGCTGGGCATTAGGGGATAGTGTATTGGTGACATCTCACCCTTGCATAAGGGGTTATCCACTGTTTCCGCAAGTAAAAACTAATGTTTCAAGTGCTGAATTAGTGTTTTGATTCACCAGTGTGGACTGGTTTAAATCAAAGTAATTTATATAATAGCTTCTGTACTTCCTAGAAGCAGGAGTCATTTCGTAGAAAAAGAGCTGCAGGAGCTCATTGACATATCTAATAGGCTATTAGTATAATAGCTTATTAGCATATGCCACGCCCCCTGACATCACCGGAAGTGATGTCAGAAGGGGAAACGAAAGGGGGGGAGGCATCTTCAAAAGCCTCCCCTTCCCCAGCTGGCCTGCCTCATGCTATAGGAAGAGTCTATGGTTAGGTCAGCTGACCCAGCCCTCCATTTTTCTTCTTCCTGAGAGAAGCTTGCGTTCCACCTCCCTCAAAGCCTCCGATCGCCATCTTGGAGGGTTGTTTGCATTTACCGATTAAAGTTGCCAAGGTCTCAAAGGTCTGAAAACAGTTTTATTGGAAAATTTCTCTGATCTAGATACAGTACAGTAGAAGTACTGTAATCCATTGCTACTGTTAGCTCAGTCCCCCATCATCCCGCTTCGTTCAATCGCTTGAGGGGGTAGGGCGTCCCCTCCCCCTTCCCGCTTTAGTTTGTGGGGGCTTCGCAACAGAGCTCCAATGTCTTGTGTTAACTTAAACTCACTCATTCGTCTTCAGAAACGATCCAGCAGGTCTCCCTGGGATCTCGCTAGGCATAGTAGAATCGCCAAACCTCCATACGCTTGTCCCGGTGGTTGCTTCGAATCCAATACTGGGAATCAGGGCAGGACCTTCGGGGCAGAGATTAGCCACCCTGTATCGGCTGACGGCCGGAGGTAGGGCTCTCCAAAGCCCCCTGGCTAGGAGCCCATTGCCTATGGGCTCCATGGGGGAGCGTGCACGATCACACTCTCTCCTAATCCCTGATTCATGGCACACGTCTCTCGGAGGAGCCAAGAGATGCAGCCATCGCTGAAGCGCCAAAAACCGGAAGGCCTGCTTCCCGTAACTTTTTATGGGGAGCAGAAAGCAGGGGTAAACCGCTGCTTTCTGCTCTTCTGAAGCCACCACTACACCAACATTTGTGGACATTTGTGGTGGTTCTTCAGTTCACAAACATTGCTTTGTGAACCACAAATAGGCCAAAATTCATGACAAACTTTTTAATTCATCAGTCGGTTTGTACCCATCCTTAGTCACATGTTTTCTCCTGTGACTTGTTCTTTTACATAGAAAAGAAGGTGCTAATTCTTTGTGTTTTCCAATGGCTTAAGAGTTCACTTTGAAGAGTTTGTAAGTAAGTGTAAACTAACATTCAGATTTCCCCCCCAAAGATTATTTTTCATAAGTGGCAGTATCTGAAATCTTAAATCAAAATCTTGTTTAAATAAAATACCTGATTTAGATCAAATCTGATTTCCCCCCTATAAATATATAGACTTCACTGAGCTCTTAAAAAGGCAGCAGAAGTAACTTTTCGGTTATGACATACGAGTCTGTTCTGTGTATATGTGAAATTCATCCACTCCTTATATACTGGCATTGTTCAGATTGTTAGATGGGTTGTTCTCATTGCCTTTGGGCCATAACTGTAACCTTTTAAAAACCGATGTGTTCTAACCAATCATACATTTGCTCAAGAGTTTAGGGAACTGGATTCTAGTCCTTGCCATCTCCAACTTGCCAGGGAGAAGTCACTGTTCCTTCCATTTGTAAAATATAGGCATTGTTGTGAGAGTAGGTGAGCACACAGCCTTAGCAGCCTCTTACTCTTTTACCTTCATGTGTGTTTGCTGTGCTATGTTTAGATGTCTGTAGGTGGTAGATCTGGAGGTCCACATTTTTTTTAATCTCTATCACAGGATTAAGTAGGACAGAAAAACCCAGCAGAAGATTTGCCCTTAGGAATCCTGGGTAAATGCTAATGAGACCAAAGTTTTGGCAAAAACTAGGGGGTGGTCCTGTTGAATGCAGCTTTCTGGTATAGTCCATTTTGGGAATGGAAGGATCACACTGGGAATCTGGTCCATGGCCCAGTCAGGAGACACACTGGTGCCTGTGCATGACGTTTTTGCCTGCCCTAACAAAATGTTAATTAACATTACTTGTTGGCTGCTATCTGTTTTCCCCCCTCAGGTCAACAGACAGTCAGCTAAAGCTGTGGAACGTAGGAAAGCCACACTGCCTGCGGTCCTTTAAAGGTCATATCAATGAGAAGAATTTTGTAGGTTTGGCATCAAATGGAGATTATATTGCCTGTGGTAAGTCAAAGACCCATTCAACACAAGGCTCTAAAATGTGCTGTCCGTCTCGAGAGCTGTATGTGGGGCACAGTGGTATAAAAGCACATAGGGGTAAGCGTTGCCCTCTAATATGTTACAAACCTGGTAAATATCTAGAAGAAAATCTGTTCCTGACGTACCTGTGAATAGGGATTTGTGTAAAATAAGCGGACTTCGTCATTAAAAGGGTTATCACAGATGCATTTGCTATAAGTGCAACAGTACAGATTCTCATGGAGGAATCCTACCGAGTTGATTGTGACAAATATCTCCTCTATTCACTTTTTTTGCTTGAACGTTTGGCTTAGATCTTCTGCAGTGCCTCTAAGTCTTTCTGTATAGGGTTTTTTTTTTTCCAGAAACCAAGTAAACCATTTTGTGCTGGAGGGAGACAGAGGAGAGGAATCAGTGCAGCATCTTAAATTTAATCTGGGGACAATTTCAAGCAACAGTGAATGATACTACTCATTCTTTCTCCTCCCTCCAACATTTTGAGAGGATTAAACACAAAAGCTATTGATAGCCTAGAACCAAATGGCAGTCTTCAGAAGATCCTGGTAAAGTTGATGAGGTTTCCTTCAAGTTCTTGTGCTACGTGAACATCTCAGCACAGTCTTAAAACTAAAATACAAGGTGGAGTGATTCTTACTTTTAAAACCAGTCTCTGCTTCTCCATCTCTGCAAGACTATGCAATAACTACGTTACTCTCTTCCTTCCCCAAATCCTGATTAATTTGTTATCAGAGAAGCCGAAATTTCTTTTAGTCATCTTTACTGTCTGAGCACCAATAGCCTTTCTGTGATCTTTGACTTGTCAAGATCACCTGGGTTATGGAATTATAAAATCATATAACTGGAAGAGACCCAATGATCCAATCCCCTGTTCCTTATATACTTGGTACTCTTGAAGCATCCTCACCAACTGTCTGTCCCACCTTTTAAAAAGAAACCTGAGATGGAAATTCCACAATTCTCTCGTAGGTAGTTTGTTTCAGTGACAAACTATTTTTTGAAACTATGATTTTTTTCTTCACGTTTAACTATGTAATATACTGTAATTCAAAAGTACTGAAGAATAATCACCCGTCATTCTTTTAGAGCCTATCTAAAATATTTGAGCGGGTCATTTTGTCTTCCCATTATTGCTCTTTTCTGTATCTGAAAAATAACCAAATACTTTCCATTCAACCTTATAAGATGCCCTTTCCAGACATTTCATTACCTTTCTTAGCTTGCCTCTGAATCCTTTCCACCTTATTAGACTCCTCCTTAAACTCTGCTGTCTTAAGCAAAGCAGAATGAACTTGCCACTGAAGAACAAAAACATAGTGTAGCATCTTGAAAATGATGCTTTGTGTTTTAGACCCTGTAAAACAGAATTGGCCTTGAAAACCACTGTCTTGTATGTTGACACTGGTGTAGTGGTTAAGTGCACGGACTCTCATCTGGGAGAACTGAGTTTGATTCCCCACTCCTCCACACGCAGCTGCTGGATGACCTTGGACAAGCCGTAGTTCTGATAAGAGCTGTTCTTGAAAAAGAGCAGTTTCTGTCAAGAGCTCTCTCAGCCCCACCTACCTCACAGGGTGTCTGTTGTGGGGAGGGGAAGGGAAAGGAGTTTGTAAACCGCTCTGAGACTCCTTTGGGTAGAGAAGGGCGGGGGATAAATCCAATCTCTTCTTCTTCTTTTCATTGCATCACCTGGATTTTATGTATCTGCTGTACTACATTTATTGTTAGTGATGTTGCTCATTCCTGTCTTGGAGTTCTCTGCTATAGCTGGAACAGGTGGCTTTTGATTGGCTGCATGAGGAGTGGGATAGGGTTAATGTCGTACGGATCTTTAGGAATCTCCCACACGTTGCCAATGTGTCTCTTTCTTTCTCTCTCTGTTAACTGTAGGAAGTGAAAATAACTCCCTCTACCTGTACTACAAGGGTCTCTCAAAGACACTGCTAACCTTCAAATTTGACACTGTCAAAAGCGTTCTGGACAAGGACCGGAAGGAGGACGACACAAATGAGTTTGTCAGTGCTGTATGCTGGAGGGCGCTGCCAGATGGGGTAAATATTTACTTACTCTCCTTTCCTTACTGTGTCACAGAAAAAAAATGTTTCCCTAAGGTGAGTTTGGCAGGGCATTTCATTAAGTCAGCTTGAGGTCAGCAGTAAACGGTTGTTGAAGCATGACAGGCTGTGGAAGATCATAATTTGAGTCAAGAAACAACCAAAGTTTGGTGCAAAAAACCTTCCTATTATTGCAGTCACGTGCGAGCGGGTTCCTTGTGGTGTTGTCTGCTGCCAGGAATGTCTTCACTGAGGAACCAAAATATATGGTGCAAATGATGTTTGAACGGCATGTGGGAAGGGCCTAGGCCTCACTGATGTGATACGTCTGTGTCTGGGCTGTGACACCATGCTGCAAGGGGCTGGCTGACATAATGGCAATTGTGCCTAGGCAAACTGTCTTGTCAGGAAGCAAGCTCTAGTCAACCCTTCTCCTGGACATGCTAGCTTTCTGTATATAGTGGTGCATTCCATCCTGTGAGCCTCTCCCTGTAGCCTAAAGTGCCATAGTCCAGACACAGCTGGACTGTACCAGTAGGCCTGTGCTCCTGTGCCTTTGCCACGATATATAAATGGGCCTAAGGTACCAGGCATTTGCAGGTTAGCTGCTGAAATTATGCAGTGGCATTTTGTGTAATTGGAATGATAGACGGTGCTTTAAAGTAAAGTTAATACAGTGTAATGGTTGGGATTTTAAGCTCACGTAACCCAGCCCACCCCCAACCGTAATTTATCGCTATTGGAGAACATTAACTTCTGTTATATATAGGCTTTTGCATTAAAAGATGCCATTTTGAATGAACAGTGAATATAAAGGGTGACAGAAATATGGGTACTGTTTGAGTCTTCCTAGCCTTTTATACATAAATGTCTCTACCCACATTTCATTTGAAACCTTGTTCTCTTTTTAACTGTCTTGATCTTTCTTAATGAGTAGGAACTTTAGCTCTGTTAAGAAACGTTCATTTGACATATAGGCCTTTCACTGAATCCTGAGCATATAGTAGCAGCCTCTGAGATGGGAGTGCACCATACTGCTTTGACTGATTCATTCATTTTGATAGAGGTGCACAAGGTCAGACTTTGCTCCAGTAAATGTTTGCTTTTTCTGCAGATTTGCCTGTACCTCAAGTGAATTAGGAGGTGGTTGCCCAGTCTGGTTTGTGGATTGTGGTTTATTACTGTACTCCTATCTCTGTTGCCAAGGCTACTGCAAGGGGTGGCGCTCCATAACAAACTGTACCGTGAATTCAGCTATCACAGCAAACCACAAATTGTGGTTTAATTAAGCAGCTGTGAACTCCAGTTTCAAATCCTGATTTGGTATCATGCAACTAACTGGGGTTTGAGTCAACTGCAGTTTATTACGGTGCCCGAGTATAGCCGTGGCTCCATGGCAGAACTGCCGTTGTGCCCCAGTAATACTGTTTCTGCCAAGCTTGCTCCTCCCGGAGCATAAGAGCCATATGTGAAGTCGGGTTCAATTGCCGCTTGGAGTGCTTTCCCCTCAGTATCCATGCTGTGGGGAGGAAGATGGGCAGAGAAGAAGGGCAGTCCCAAAACATGCAGGCCTGAGGAGTCTGGTGTTTTACTCCAGAACGACTTGAGTTGTAACTGTCACCCTCCTTGTTTAGTCTGTGAGCACGTGCTGGATGGGGGGAATGAGCACCATTCTCCAACTGAGTGCTGTAGGAAAGAGGAAGTGACAGGGGGCCCCTTTAGAGGCTTTGGACTGCTTTTCTTCACCAAATCCATTCTTACAGTCTTTCTCTGCTCTTGTAACTTAGCCTAGCTGCATTGTGTCATTAAGTGAAACAATTTTTTTAAAAAAATTAAACCCATGTTTTGTGTATAGCCCTTTGCATTACGTGTACTCTGTGAAAGTTGGTGATATAATATCAATGAACCCATGGAGCCGCTTGATCTGGAGTCAGATAGCTGGTCCAGATAGCCAAGTATTGTCTGCTGTGGCTGGCAACAGTTCTCAGACTCTATCCCAGCACTGAAATCCTTGTTTCTCGGGATTCCAGGAATTTGAGTTGGGACCTTCTGCTGCACTATGTAGCCATGACCCCCCCCCCTCCCCGTAGTGTGTGGATATTTAGAATTTAGTGATGAACCTATTCTTCTCCCCCCCACCCCGAGTTGCTTTCTACCTGTTTTTCTGGTACTCTTTAAGTAGTTCATTTCCACTTTCCTAGGATGATTAGCATATTTTCTTTGAGAGAGATTTTTTAAGCATTTTTGTTCAAAGAAAGCTGTCCTGTTATTCCTATTTTACCTTCAGTTACAGCAGCCCCCTTCCCATTCCACACGCTTCTGTAGCAACACTTTGTGACTCACTCAGCAACGTGTATCACGTTTTTTGCCACCAGGCCATAGCATACCTATTTCTATAATGCTTCTAATTGCTACTTGTGTATTTTCTACATGCTCTTGAAATGTTCACTTTGAAAAAAAAAATCACTTTTAGGACAGAAAATATTGTACACAAACAATAGCTTCCACATACGGGCCTGAGTCAGGTAATTCAGTCATGGGTTAATAATAATTAAGTGCCATGTCAACAGACTTGTGTCAACCCTCATGTGGTTTTTAAAGCAAGAGATGAACAGAGATGGTTTGCCTATTTCCTTCCTCTGCATAGCATCCATGGTTTTCCTTGGTGGCCTTCCATCAAAATACTAACTATGGCCAACGCTGCTTAACTTTCAAGCTCTGACAAGCTCAGACTAGTCAGAGTGATTCAAGCTGCTAGTCATGGGTCAGAGGTTTACAAACTTATCTCCCTCTTCTTTCGGATTCCATTTTCCTCCCCTGTTTTATGTGATTTGTAGTTTGCCATAAAATCAGACTGTCGGGTCGTGTGGGCACCTGTTCAGAGTTCCGAGCAGTAGAGCCCTCCAGAGCGGGACTTGTCTCAGTTGACTGGGCTGGACCTCAGAATATGCCAGAGAAGGGGATTTTGCAATCACCTGAGGTCCTCCTCCCGGCAGAAGGTCCACTCCACACTGGCTTCACATCCCAAAGCTGGAAGCATGCTCTTCCTCCCCATCCCGCCATTTGCCTCCCATTTAAATCCCCCTTCCTGTGGCTAGACTGCTCCGAATGCTCCAATCCCTGCCCTTCCTCCCTTTCCACCTGCAAACTGCTCCCTCCTCCCTCCAATACGGGCCCCGTCTCCTGCCATTCAGGACAGGATGGTGCCGCTCCTTGTTCCCACCCCTTTGCCTTACTCTGGGCGTGGGGTGGGGCCGGCCAACATGTTTCCACCATAACTAGGCCTCCGGGCCCCTTGTTCCTGGTGTCTGTGATGCCCCTTCCGCTCAGGATGTTCTCTGGTGGTGGGAGATCACTCTCCCCTGATTCTGTCACCACCACAGAGCCATCACTTTCCCCATGCGCCTCTGCTTCCTTGTTGTCCCAAGCTTTGGAGGGAGGTAAGTGTGGAGGTGGGGTGGTCGCCTCCGGACACAGACTCAACACCTCGCATCTAGGGCTTCCCCTTCAAATGGTGATTTCCAGTGCTGTTGTGGAGAGTAAGCACCACCTGTAAATTGTGCAGTGGGATGTTATGACAAAACTGTATTGAGCGCTAAGTGAGGTATCAAGGGACCCGAGCGATATACACGAGAGTCTGGACAATCCTTTGAATTGAATGTGAGTTAGGATCCACCAACTAGGCCGATCAGCCATTGGCAATGGAACCTGGAAAAGAACTGTACAAAAGAAGTGGGGGAATGAGAGATGACCTCTAGATCAGTGGGAGCAACATTTGGAAAGAGCAGCAAGGCTTATCTCCATTTTTAGCTCCTGTTGTTTCTTTGAGGGAACTTGGCACGTACTGAGTAGTTGCCATTTTCGTTCTCAAAGAGTAATAGATGCAAAACACATTCATATTTGAAAGCTAACTATATAAGACAGTTTTTGTGAATATCTGAGAACTTGAAGCTACATTAGAGAACACTGACAGTCACTTAAAGAAGATTGTCTGTCCTTGTATTATTTTTGTGGATCGGCTGCCTCGTTTCTTGTAGACCTGAAAGATGGAAATTAACTTAAATACATCTAGGCTTATTAGTGTTTGAATGTTGTCATTTGCCGAATTTTGGATGTTCTCTGTGACAGTGACATAACAGACTCTTATTTATTTAACAATTACATTGCTGAGCAAACAAAGAACACACTCCTGACACTTGAATTAGGGCTGTATGTGATGTAAAGTGCAATGGACTAGTTACCAAACAAGTCCGTGTATAGCAAACAGAGTTTGGCCCCATTCACAGTCAGCTTCAGGTTTACTCCCCAATGCAAATTCTATTGGAACGGCTAGTTTCACTGAACTACAGCAATCAGTTCTAACTGCGTTATGGGAATTATTAGTCAAATGGTTCCCTCTATTTGTCAGATGTAAAATCAGGTTTGTCGTTTAACTAGACACAAACTTGATCAATACGCCACTTAATGTTTGTCACATATTTATTTTGAAGCATTAATTTATTAGAATGATAAAAAGCAGCAAGTGGCACTTATTCACTGCTGTGAATGTGCTTGGTGGCAGACTTGACTCTTCGGCACTTCTGACAGCATAGGCTTTTCACCTTTTGTGGGTGAAAGTTGGCTTCTAGGTGTGAGCCAAAGAGACAGTCATCAGGGGAGCCCTGTAACTCAGTGGCAGAACACACGCTTTGTGCGCAGAATGCCTTGAGTTTAATCCCCCACATTTGAAGAAGAAGAGATTGGATTTTCCCCCCGCCCTTCACTCCCCAAAGGTGTCTCAGAGCGGCTTACAAACTCCTTTTCCCTTCCCCTCCCCACAACAGACACCCTGTGAGATGGGTGGGGCTGAGAGTGCTCTTGACAGAAACTGCTCTTTTTCAAGAACAGCTCTTATCAGAGCTATGGCTTGCCCAAGGCCATCCATCCAGGTTCAAGTGGAGAAGTGGGGAATCAAACCCGGTTCTCCCAGATTAGAGTCCACACACTTAACCACTACA